AAAAAATCGTTTGGCACAGGTAAAACAGAGTTTACTTCAAAACTCAATATCTCAACATTAAAAGCTCATGAAGACGAACTCTTTTAGATGTTTGCTAGTCTTACTAAAGCGTCCTTGTAGGCTCAATATGAGCTTAAATGGTGGATATCTGTTCGAGGAACTTCCTTGTAAGAGTAACTAATAATTGATTATTATTGTATGCTCATAATATCGTCAACGTTATATTTTTGTCATCTAATCGATTAAGTTCCACCCTCAAAAATCGATCTTCCACCAGTGATATTCAAATTGCATGAAATTTTTGGGATATTGCTAGAGTTGTTGGAGAGAGGCTGTGCTAAAATTTTCAGTCTTATGTCATAACGTTTTTTGAGAGATATTTAGCAAGCAGAGATCAATATTAATTTTCAATTTTGAAAACGACAGCAATAATGAAATTTATATTATCGAACAGTCTTTTCTATGAAGTATCTAGTTTCGGTTGATTTGTTTTAATGCAATTTACTAGTTATTTAATTTAATTCTAGCGTTATAATTCATCATACATCGAAGTAAATTGTTTCACGCTTTTCTCAAATTCACTTTTTCATTAAAAAGAAGTACGAAAACGAACAAAAAAGATACTCGTGTCTGTTAAGACAATTCTCAACTTGATCGAACATAGAATCTTGGAGAAGGGGAAGAGGACATTATGATTCCAGTATTCCATAGAAGACAGCAATACAAAAACTTTTGTTCTAATTGTTAAGATCTGTCTATTCTGAAAATTTCAAAATTTTGAAATGAACTGTTCTCTAGAAAATCCGGAAAGGGAGAAAGATTATCCTTAATTACTTATTCAATAACAAAAGAAAAACGAATTACAAAATTTACCTCATTAAATCCATGTAAAAAAGCTTTTGTTTGATCTTCAACTCCTCGTGTAAATCTCCATTTAGTCATCAATTCTACATATTCAGCTTTATTATCTTCTGTTAATTTAATATCATTACCACCAGGTTTTAATTCAACATTTTCTACTTTACCAAGTAATTCAAATGTTGTATTAAAATATAATTCAAGATCATCATTTTCATTTAAATTATTATCTTTAATCCATAATAAACTATTATAAAATTCTGGATCTAATGATTCTAAATCATGTATTGTTAATGGTTTACCAAGCATACGTTTATAAAATGGTAAACTAAAACCATTATCAATAAATTTTTCATGATAAAGTGCCATAGCAACAAAACGACCAATAAATCTAAAATTTAAAAAAAAAATGATATAAAAAAAAAAAAGAAACAAATAAAATTTTTCAATAAATTCTACCCAAAATAAATTAAATGATCAGGATTAATTGATGATGCTGGATTAATTTGTAAATAATAATTATTTTTATTAGCATATTCAAATAAACAATACATTGGATTAAGTACTTCATGTGATAAACGAAAAAACCATTCACGTGCAACACCACCATAATCAAGTGCTTCTTCATGTTTAAATGAAAGATATAAACGTCGACGAAGTTCACTTGATTGAAATTGTACTATATGATTAAATGAATCATTAAATAAACGATCTCGACGTATTGTTAATTTTAATTGTCCATTTGTTGCATTTGTTGAACATAAATAACGAAATTGTCGAATTTTATATGGTAAACTACGTCTAGTTTTAACATTAGAAATATTACATTCAAGTCTTGGATCTCGAAAAGTTTTTGTATTTGTATTATGATCAAGAAAATAGATTTGTCCTTCCTTTGTATAACACATTTCAAAACCATCTGGTAATGGTGTATCAAATAGACTACTATGCATTTGTCGTGGATCTTCCCATTGAGTTGTTTTTGATAAATGATTTATAAAATAAGGTCGACCTTGATTATCAAACATTTGTTGCCAACCTTAAAAACAAAATAAAAGAAAAAATTTAAATTTTTTATTCAAAAAAAAAAATTCTTTCTGATTAGTTGATTTTTATCAATATGTTTATCATCTAGCTATTAATTATAAAACAACTGAAAGAAAAACATTGATTATATCTATTTTGATATTTTAAAGAGAGGTTTTTCTTTATTATATGAACAGATACGCCAGAATAGATCTTCGAAGATTGCATGCTGATAATTGTTCGATACGAAAAAAAGTCAAGAAATTTATAATAAAAGAACAAAAACCTTCAACTGTATGGAAAAAAATACATTTACTTTTAAGCGACAGAAAAGATTAATATAAAGGATAGGTGTGGATTTTCTTGCACACCCTACATTCACACTATACTGTCAAAATGTTTGTTTTTTTCGTAGTTTCACTTTTCTATCAAAATCAATTTCGATATAACTTCATGAAAATCTTTGGATCTAAAAATTTTCATTTTAAAAAGAAATTCTAGTTCATATGTCGCATGTATCAAAGAAACATATGCTCCTTTGCAGTGACTCACAATTTGATAATAACATATTCCGTCTGTTTTTTTTTATATTGATTTAACTTATTCATCTGAGTTGAAGCTTTTATGACAAAAAAAACTTTGTTCTTTTATTATAAATTTTTCGACTATTTGTCACATCGACCAATTTTCGTTCTACAATTTTCCACTTGACCTTTTTCAATTAATGTCGTGATCTCCATCAAAAACTCGAGAAAAGTTTATTTTCGAGTTTCCACTTAAAATTTTGCATAAAGACAGGCCTTAAACAGTATAGATTTTCATCAATGTTTAAGATCTTGCCACCTTTCTTATTCGAAGATACAAATCTGATAATAGAATATCGTTTGCATTGCTCATATAAACCGGCAGATTTTATATTCTAATTTAAGGATAGAAACAAATCAAGAGACTTGAAACTTTCACAATAAATTATTCTCGTTAAGATCTGTGTCTATGTGAAATTTAAAGTTGAAATTGGAAAATCAATTTTTCTGTTGTTCATGTATTTATTTAAAAAAATACCGTAAAAGTGTAATATCTTCACAACAATATGCCAAAGATACGAACACTTTTTTTAGGGTATTCATAGCTCATTTCAGTCTACATAAACTTCCGCGGATAAAAATAAGTTTCTTTTTTTCCTTCTTGTTATATTATTAAATATATATTTGTATGTACATATTATATTTTATTTACGTGTTGTTTTGTATTTATTTCAGAATGACGTATTTTGAAATAAATTCAAAACAAAACAAAACAAAACAACACGTAAATAAGATGTATATATATGCAAATATGGTTGACTCTATTACCTATAAAATGACATACAAAAGTATATATAATAATAGCACAAGAGGAAGAGAAAAAGAACAATTGGAAAAGGGACTTGTTTTTGTCCTTGAGAGAATACACAGTCTCAACGCAAAAGCACTTTATCAGTTAAAGGGCTTACTTCGTAACTATTTTCTCAATATAGCTGTCCAGATCCATCACCATACCACCTTAATCTTTTTTTTTTTAAATCTTTACGATTCAATTTTCTACAAGAATATATCACAAATCTTACAATAAAATGTTAACACAAAAATATTAGATAAATAATACTATGAGATTCTAACATGCCTAATTTTCAAAAGTTGTTTTTTTTAATGTAAACATTACTTTATTAATATCTGACGAAATAACCATTTCAAGAGATAAATCGTTTTTGAGTTCGAACTCTACGCATAAGATAAACTGTAGTCAAATATGAAAATGACCAAAAGGATGAATGCCCTTAGACATTTCCTATAGGATTATGTCCATTTAATGAGAATTTTAGGCTATGATACGATATGTGCTAACAAAAATCGAATAAAGAGTATTTCGACTTGAACTTTGACCTATAGATAAGTCTACTTGTGGCTAGAATGTCCTGAAAATTTCAGTTCAACAGAATGTTTCCTTCGTAAGATACTGAATTTCCAAAAAATCTGAGATTCGTGTTAAATAACTATAAGTTTGGAGAAAAAGTCTAAGAGCATGCATCTTTTTGAAGTTTTTCATATCTTATTGTAGTCTATCTTATGTATAGAGTCTAAACTCAAAAAAAAAACGATTTATCACTTGAAATGGTTCCCTCGTGAGAATAAAAACACGCGGAATTTTGCTAGAGCATCAAAATTGCTAATTCATAACCTGGATTTTTGTAAAGTTAGGAAAAAACAATAATTCACATAAATGACAAATATTAATACAAAAATTTTACTATCAAAACTATAAAAATAGAACTTTTCATATGCTACAAGATTGCTATTGTGGTTTCTTTTTATTCGTTAAAAATTTCAACGAATGGACCTAAACAAACTATTTTTCTATTTGTGAAAATTAAATAGAAAGACATCTGTTCTGATGCGCCTAGTAAACACTATTCTGTTAAGTCACACATAAAAAAAAACAACTCTAGATAATCAATTATGACTAAAGCTATAACGATTGTTTACAATATAAATACCTCTGAAAAAAAAAACTATTCTTATGTAATCAAATTCATCTTTATCTTTTTTGTATACATTATGATAAGATCGATTGAAATTAAATATCTCAAAGCGTTATTTCTTAATTAAAATAATTTACCTTCAGGTAATGGTTCTTCATTTGAATCATTTGATTGAATATTATTTTCTGTTTGTGGTAAAAATCTATGTTCAAATTGATTGAACATTGAATTACTTCTTTCATATTGATTTTGCCATTGTGCAACATTTGATAAATGAATAGCTGTTGGACGTATCCATGTTGTTGTACGAGTAATATGATCAACAAAATAAATACGTCCACGATTATCAACACGTTCTTCCCATCCAGGTGGAAGTACTGTTTGATCAAGTAACCATGTTGTTCGACGACGATTATGATCAACATAATAAGGACGACCACGACTATCTAATCGAATTTCCCAACCAGTTGGTAACTGAAATTAAAAGAGAAAAATAATCGAAGAAATAATATTTTATTTGATTTTTGTTTTTTTTTTGAATAACTAACTTGTTGTCTAAGTTGAGCTAATACCGTTTCATTTATAGGTGAATGTATTCTTTCAATTGAATTTCCTGTTGATGCAGAAGCTGCATCTGTTTGATTAGTAGATGGACTTTGTCTTAAACGCAGTATTGGTTCATTTGATGATGATTGATTCGTTGTTTCATTTGGTAATGATAAATTTGTATCCTAAAACTGAAAATAAGTTTTTTTTAAAAGTTATTCTAAATATTTACCGATTCAGATAATGTTTGTGTTGTTCCATTTTGTTGTTGTTGTTGTTTAAGTATTGAACCATAAAAAATCACATCAATCACACCTACTGAAGGATCATTATTATTATCATTTAATCTCAATAAATTTGATGATGTTGTAGAATTTTGAAATGGCAATTGAACATTATACGATGGTAAAGTATCATTGTTATTATTATTATTATTATTATTATTTTGTTCTTTTAAATAATAATCATCAATAATTGATTGTAAATTAATTTCTATTTGCCCTATATCCCTATTACCAAAACGACGTGTTGGAGCATGAATTTTAAAATTTATTTTTGAATTTAATGTAACAAGTGTATTAAATGATTCATTAATTAATATAACAGAACTTGTTGTTGTTGTTATTGTATTCGATTTACTTTTTTTACGAATTATTTCAGTACGATATGGATATTTATTATCAATTTCCATAATAACACATATATCAACTAATTTAGTTGATGATGGTAAACGTACAGAACAAATTTTAACACGTAATTGAGATAGAGATTCTGGTTGATGAGTATCAGACGATGATTGAACTATTTCTGACATTTTTCTTCCTATTTTATTGAGATTAAGTTATCATATTATCTCAGGAAAAAAATTTTATAGAAATAAATGGTTTTATTTGTTTCAATAAGAACATATCTTTGAATATATTTCTACTTGAAACCTAATAAATGACGATCAAAAGAAAAGAGAAAAAAAAAGAGTATGACAATACCACGCACATGTTTACTTCTTTATTCATTTGTCTATTTAATAACCAATAGAATTGCGAGCATGCTTACATAAATGCAAGCATAAACATTGAAACATGATATTAACAATCAAATTTTACGTGATCTTATTCGTTTATATATAAATGATTATTATCATGTCATGAATTGATCAATTCATGACAATAGAAAATAATCGTTTAACCTATTTATCAAACAATGAATTATATAAGAAATATAAAACCCATGATTTATAAACATATACTTGTATTGAATGTTATACATTAATCATACATGTCCTCGTCATTAACGTACGCATACAGTGAAGACACTGCTTTCAATGGCAGATTTAATGAGTAGAAGTAAAATGTACGGAACATTTGCTACTTCTGAAATACACTCTGTTTCTATGAATAACGTATGAAACAGAGTGTACTATGTACATTTTGATGAAAAAATTGATATTTTGATGCCAGATTCTTAAAAATTGTATCCAATGTTACATTTAAGATTATATATAGATCATAGTAGATTATGGTCTCTTATGTCTGATTCTATCATTCATGGGATATAACTTCTTTTTTTTTATTTCGATTTCTGATTATGCAGATAGTTTTTGTTCTTTTTTTTTACATTGTGACAGAATCTGATTTTTGTACACCTTGATACACTTTGCTAACGAAAAGAAAGTTCGAACATACACGTTGCTCGTATAAACAGAGCATAAAAAAACATTTTGGCCTCGGTTTCCATTGGAAGGACTGGGTAAGGATATTATATAATTGATTATATAAGAATTAGTTTTAGTGTAGCCTATTGTTGAAATTCTATACGTATGGGTTAGTATTTATTTTACATTCGTATTTGCATAGTTATGAAATCTCTTTAAATACGATAAGAACGGACAATCGATAGAGGATAGAAAAACACATAAGTATTTTAGAAAAAGTTCGATGAAAAAGTGTGAAATATATTGTTCAATGTCAGATTGATTGTTATAGTATTATTTGACATATACCTAGCACTAAAGATATTCTTGTTTTATGAATCAGAAAACTTTCGAAGAGTCAAAAGTTCTATGACACTAATTGAAAATCGAAGACATCAAAAGTTAATTGTAGAAAAAGCCAAAACATGTATCAATGTTGATGTAAATAATCAATAAATTCGATCATTGAATTTTAAATCATTTTTTTTTAGATGCACAATAGCATACTTTTTTGTTTTTATATTCAGTTTCCTTGTATTCTCAAATAAGAACGAAAAGATATTGTACTACTCTACGTATTTATGTGTATTGGTACTTAATAAGTGCAAATTACAGTATTAAAAAAAAAGACGACGACTGAGTAATACTATCTACGTAATATTATATATTGTATTACACTGCATTATTGTATATGATATAATTCGTCATTTGAATCCTTTTTCATTGAATAATTCAAAGATAAAATTCACTCGAATTCTTATTATTAGCGCTGGTTCTATAGCGAGTAGTCATATGTCATTACTAATTTGCTGCTCATGGTTTTGTAGTATCTCTTTATAATGTTAATGCAAAAAATGTTCATTTCTTTTTTAACTTTTGGTATTAGTTTAATTGAGATTTTCATGTTAGACGAACTCACCTTCTGACATATAAATATTCTTTATCTTTTTCTCTGATATCATTGAATCACGTATCGTATATCAATATTCTTTCCTTTTATTCTCTCATGTAGTTCTAACAGAAATGCATATATTAACAAGGAAGTAAAAACAAATATCTTACAATATTTGTGAGCAAACTGACAAGTTCTATTGAAGGACATATGTCGAGAAGGATTAAAAAAGAATGAGTTCTGCTGCATTTTTTATATTACTTGGTTCACGTTACTTTGATTATATGTCTTAAATAGAATTGATGATTTTATGAAACTATTCAAACATGGTACACTAACAGAAATTTTCTTCCAAGGAAATAATAAAAAAATGTGATTGATTACTTGTATTAGTGGTTTCGTTTTATATCATAATTTAAAAGATAGATGTGATTTTGCATATATTCCTTAGAATAAAAGCAATAGTAATGAATAGCTAATAAATTGATATATATATAATTTGATTGATTATAAAACGATTATTTTCTTGTCTTTAAATTCATATTATTAAGTGTATCATTAAAAAAAAATATTTCTTTTTGATTATCAATTTTCATAGTGTATTCTGTATGAGAATAAATCTCCTGAATACTTAAGCGAAATAGTTTAGAAATATCATTAATAACATTTTCACTTATCGCAGTAATCGTCAATGATTAATTGTATTACATGTTTATACATAGACTTTTTTTAATGACAACTGAGGAGAGAACTTTAATAAATATTATACTTATCCGCCAAGTTAAAATAAAATTCATTAATAATGAAGGTTTTCATTTGCGAAAAACATATATCACAGGATAGTTCACATTTTGACATTTATTAACTTCCATAGAGTATGTTTGTTAAGTGCAAAGTGTATTTAGAATAATGTGGTAGAAAGAAGAATATTTGTTTAGAATATATTACATAATCAGGAATAGAAATATGGCACACTTTGTCAGATGCTAAATAAATCATTCTCATTTACGAATATTCATTAAGTGTATACAAGATGTTAATAGTTCCAGCGAGTCAAATATAATTTCAGATGATTCGTATTGAATTTACAGTTTTTATTAGTATAGTTATTTCGATGGTATTATTGTTCTATTTTTATTTCTTGAAAAATGCATAGATAATTTTTCTTATTGGTTTCATGTTGGTAAATCTAGTTTACATCAATGTTACTATTCTTTTAGCTTTACACATTAGTTATGGTATGGATCGACCTATTAAATCAAGACATTTTTTGTGTCGTATTAGAATATGTGTTAATTTTGTTTTCTCAGTCAATGCATTATCTACTGAAGAAAGTCGTCTACGAAATAATCAAGTGTTTGCTGTATAATAGATCAGAATAATTAGTTTCTTTTTGGATTCTGTTTCAGCTACATGCTATTTTCGTTTCTGAAATTCAATTTATTTATAGTATATGATTTAATTGGAATATACGATCAACTAGTTCTGTCACCTTTTTGTCTTAATATAGTCTGATTAATATTGTAATGCCAATTATACTTATCGCCACACTTGGCATTCAAACATTGATAAATATATAACGAGATCATCGAAATTATGTATATTATATGAAATTGATGAAATATTACACTGCAATTAGTTCAATTAGGGATATATATGCCTATATATTCGTCTTGGTCTATGCAAAAATTAAAAAATATCATATTAAACTTTCAAGTCAAGTAACACTCAAGCAGTTTGTATAGTATATCGTGGTATTTTGTCGATTTATTGAATTCTTCATATCACCACAGATGAATCTAATAAAAAACAGTTTTCAGATTGAATTTACATGAGGAATGAACAAAGTAATAGGTAAAACAAATAGAAGAGATTGAGAAGATGCATGTTTTACTCAAATAAGAAACAGTAACACAATCCATATGAGAGCAATGGCAAGGCATTTTGAACAACACAAGCGCTATTAAGCTGATATAACAGTAAACAGAATATTGCTAAAATTAGTTGTCAAAATAGCTTCTATCTAGAGATGATGTTGTCTCTAAATATAATACATTATGTTATGTGTTGCTAAGACAATTGGTTACATGACATATTAGTTTTGAAGTATTTTAAAGAAGCATTAAGGCTGGATAGGCGAAGGTGGATATGGATGGATGTACATATATCGGTGAGAGTACACAAAAGACCGTCATTTATACTGACAGCCGCATATTCATTTTGAAAAATATTTATGATTTTCTATGTGTAGACTTTCGAAATCCTTCAATTTTATTCTATATTCCTATCAAATTTTCTAAATTCGTAACTGATATAACAACACAATATAGTATTATTGAAAATTGGTCGGTATTCAATTGGTATGAGATCATAATTTTCGTATGTTTATAAATCAACAACATTCATAGAAAGTTCTAATGAACAACTGATCGAATTTATGTAATCTCATATTCTAAAAACGTTGAATTTGGATTAATATCGGCGGATTTCGTTGAGATTTCAAAAGTTGTATCTTCAATAATATATATAATCCTTACTACACTAATTTCTTCACATGTTATGCTTTAATTAACTATTGACGACATTTAATTTGCCCAAATCACACCAGCTGTTGACAGGTAAACAACTAATATATTTGCACCAGCTACATTTTATTCTTCCTGAATAAAAACTTTCTGTGAAAAGTGCGAATA